CCACTTACTCTGCTTCTACGAGGCTGCCATTAGGTGAGCAGCTTCCTACCATAACATTTCTGTCTTGGAGCCAGCTCACGTGGACTGAAGCCTTGAAACCATGAGCCAAAATAAATCTTTCCTCCTTTAAGTTGTTTGTATCAGGTATTTGGTCACAGCAATGGAAAGCTGACTAACACAATTTAAATATAAAGAAGTCTCATTTCAGCATTATTTACAAAAGAAAAAAATTATACATAAGAGAATGTCCCAAAACAAGAGAATAATTAAGCAAATCAGAACTATATGATAAAATCTTAGAGAATCATTGAATATGAAGGCTGTAAAGAGTTTTAATGCTGTAACATACTTACAATGTGATGTCAATATAACTATCTACATATAATAAGATATAAAGTTATGCAATTGCTGTGAGTATATATATAAACATATGCATGCTATATAAAAAACCATAGGGGGAAAAAAATAGGAAGATCTATGCAAAAGATTTAGTAGCAATTAACCTTGGTATTTTTCTTTTTATTTTATTGAAATTTTCTAAAAAAATATGTATTATTTTTTAAATTTAACTTTTTATTTTTAAAAAACAAAAATATCTGTTTACATGCATTCAAGACATTTTAATGGCCTGTATTAAATCCAGTTATAATTATGCCAAGAATAAATGCCAGTGTAAATATAATGGTGCCAAAGGTAGTTTAATTAATTGCATTCAGTGAACAGCTAAGCAATAATTTCTGATAAGAATGCAGGTAGAATGACTGGCATACAAAAGTATACATCAACTGTCAAAAGCACAACACCAGGGATTTAGCTCAGTGGTTCCGCTGCCTGCCTCGCAAGCACAAGGACCCGAGTTCGATCCCCGGTACCAAAAAAAAAAGCACAATATCAATCACTCAGTGCTGTTTTCCTGAGATAGTGACACATCTAGGAAATTGATAATACCTGACCTTATACCAATTATATGGTTCTCAGATGGATCCATGAGAGCAATTTTTTTTTTTTTTTATGAGACAGGGTCTCACTATGTAGTTCAGACTGACCTGGAACTCATTATGTAGCCCAGGCTGGTCTTGAACTCACAGCGATCCTCCTGCCTCAGCCTCCCAAGTGCTGAGATTACAGGTGTGCACCACGATGCCCCATGAAAGAAATCTCAAACACAAAACTAAAATGTTAGGCTGAGTTTTAGTCAGAAGAAAGTATATCTTATTTCTAAGGAAATTATTCATTAAAGTTCATTTTACACTAAGCTAATACCTGTGCTAGGCATGCAGTTCATGACCCTAAAGGTGCTCAAGGACCTTAAAGAGGAAGGTGTGTGGGTGCTGCCTTCACAGTGGTAATCACTGCCTCAGTCCAGGCATCTGATAACAGCCTGGTAGTCATCCCCAGGAGATGGGCAAGGCCTATCACAGATCGCCTTTTGAAAGGCTTATCCTGCCTACCTGAACATTGGTTTCTGTTCTAGCAACCTCTCCTGAAGTGGGTAGCCTCTTCCTTACTGTTAGTACTGCATGCAGTTCAGGGTCAGTCTTAACTGTAGGCACATTTTTCACTACGTAACTTGGAGGGGTTTTTCTCCTGTGCTCACCATGTGATCATCATCATTATCATCAATCCACTTGAAGTCTTGAATTTAATACCATTCTAGCAGTTTCCCCATCCTTCATAAAGGTTAGCATTTATCCAACTTATTATTTTGGATTATCAACTTTTGGCATATAAAGAAAAGTGTGATATATTTTCATTAGTGACATGAACCACTAGTGTCATTTTTAGGTTCACTTTCAAACACCATCCTAGCCCAATATCAGTATTAAACAGTTACTAATGTTGATTTATCAACCTCATTTCAAAAATCAGTAACTGCACAAACAGCATTTTAAAGGCTGAGTTATTTCCAAAGGCCGTGGAACTCTGGAAATCTATTAACTATGGGAAATATAGAGCTTTGTTATTTCTAATGTGTGGTGAGGGCCAAGAAATTCCATGGCCACTAGGGGCACTAAAAAAACAATGTTGCAAAATCAAATAAGATGCCTAGTGGAACAGCTGCCTAAGAATAACAAATTTTATATTTCTCCTAGTCCAACTTATCTTTAACCAGCATGCGTTGCTGGTACAAAGAATATTGAACTGATTGGTGTTATGGTTTGTATCTAAATGTCTTCCCAAATATTCATGCACTCACAGCTGGGACTTTTGAAAGTGACTGGATCATGGGTATTTGATACTTAATTAGTGCACTGACTGGTTTACCATAGTTCTTGGAGTGGGTGATAAGATTCACTGATGTGGGAAGACCTACCCTAAGTGGGAGTGACACCAACCAATAGGCGGGCAACCTTGATGGGAAAGAAGGAAGGCTCAACTACTTCCTGTCTACCCTGCCGTGGACTGTTTGTTCTTTGCCATGTCCCTCTGCCATGTGACCATGCCTTGGAGCCAGCCAACTATGGACTGAAACATCTACAAACTGGTCCAAGATAAACCTCTCCTTTAATCTGTGGGTACCAGGTATTTTGTCTAACAACAAGAAAGTAACTAAGACAGTCAGGAATCTATCCTTTGTTATATAAATGCTAGAGCCTAAATAAATTGTACACCCCTTTTAAATATCTTGAAATAGGATTCATTGGATTTTGGGGATGGGGGACATTCCCTACCAGATTTATCTTCAGCATGCCTACAACACTTGCATATCTAAGAATAGTCACTCTATGCTTAGCATCCTTAAAATTATTTGGTAACTTTTAATCAGTCACTATAAATATTTTCTAAAAACCTAGTGGTGTCAGTACAGTTCTAATTCATTAACACAAATATTTAGTCAGGACTAAAGTTTTCAATGAATATTTTCATAGCAAATCATCTAGGAGATGTCATCTAGCTTCTGATGAGCAGGGACTTTTACCTAATCCCATGAAGCTTCTATATGTCTGGAGTCTAGCTCTATATGGTATATTGTAAGCTATTTCATAACCAATAAGTTATTCATTGGAATGTTTTTAGTTCTTCACTAATGAATCATTTCTGTTAATGTACAGGCAACATCTTTACTTTTTTGGCTATGTAATGTTTCCGTATTATTCCAGAGTACTTGGTCATCGCTGACTTGTAAAAACTTCACAAGTTATTTTCTGTTTCTCTAGGTTGTACACATATGTTAGAGTTCCTGCATATACATGGTACCTTACAGACACACACAATCACTTCTAAAGCAATCCTATACAAACAGCAAAGCTACAGATATCATAATATTGTATTTCAAGTTGTACTATAAAGCTGTATTAACAATACTACAGGATACTGGCACAAAAGTAGATATGTAGACCAATACAATGGAACAAAAGATGCAGAAACAACCCCATTCACCTATAGTCATCAGATTTTTTAAAAAGATGTCAAAAAGAAAGAAAAGAAAGCTTCTTTAAAAACAATGCTGGGAAAATGGAAATGTACTTATAGTAGATAGAAACTAGATAACTATGTCTTATGCTGCACTAAAATCAGGTCAAAATGGATCAAAGACATATTTATAAAAGCACAAATTTTGAAACTACTGGAAGATTATAGGAGGAAAATGTGAAGCCAGGGCACAAAGACTTCCTGAATAACTCCAACAGCACAAGAAATAATATCCAAAAGCAACAAATGCTATTGCACCAAATTGAAAAGCACCTGCATTGAAAAGAAAACAGTCAACAGAGTAAAAAGATTAAACTAGAGAAAAATTTTACTAATTACTTTTTGTATTGGGTATTAATATAAAGAATTTATAAAGAACTCAAAAACAATCTTGCTTCCAAAAAACAATTGACCCAATCAAAAAATTAGCAAATAAACTGAAAAGATTCCTATATCAATGTGCCAATAAGCACATGAAAAAAATGGCCAAAATTTTTAACCACTAGCAAAATGCAAATCAAAATAACATTAAGAACCATTTCATCATAGCCAGAATAGCTATCATCAAGCACACAGTAAACCATGAATGCTACTTAGCATGTGAGGAAGAAAAACAAAACAAAACAAAACAAAACAAAGCTTCAAGATTATTGGTGAAAATAAACCAAAATGACCACTATGAAAATCAAACTGGAGGTTTTTATGTGTATAATATGCATACTCATGTTCATAGTAACACAATTCACAACAGTTAACTGTGAAACTGCCTAAGTGCCCATCAACAGATAAATGGATTTAAAAATGTATATATACACAGTGGAATATCATTCCATGGAGTATCATATCTTTTTAGAAATACAGGCAGAACTTAAGACCAGAATGCTTAGCAAAATAAGCCAGATTCACAAAACAAATATCACACATATTCTCTTATTAATTTAAACTATAAATAAATTAATCAAATACAGAGAGATGATAGAAAATTAGAAGGGAGACACTTGGAGATGGGAAAGAGATCCGGAAGAGTGAGGAAAAAGAGAAGAGGGGTAAAGGGATTAAAAAGTAATCAAGATATGTTACATGCATGTACCAATTCCCCAAAACCAGTATCACTATTTTGTATTAAAAATATGCATTCTTTTTTTTTTTTTTTTGGTACCAGGGATTGAACTTGGGTCCTTGCGCTTGCAAGGCAGGCCGTCGAACTGCTGAGCTAAATCAATCCCCCGCCCAAAAATATGCATTAATTTTAAAAAGAAAAGCTATACAAGTCATCTTCACTAAACAAAGCAAATTATTTGTTTTTCCTTAAAAGCAAATCCAAGTGTATTATGTTCATTTTCCCGGGGATGAAGGAGAGTACCTTTCTGTCAATAGCTGTCTGCAGAAATTCGATTTTCTCCCTTGCAATGCCAGGTACACTGGTCGAGGCTCTTGCTAAGTCCTCCTGCTGGCACAGGAAAGGGCAGAGGCTGGAACTTCCCATGCCTGCCCTGAGGCACCTTGAGGCCCTCGCGCCCCAGGGCGCGGGGCGTGGTCGGAGCAGGAAGTCCCTGAGCGCCTGCACCACCCCACCCCCCCGGGAGCTTTGGTTTCGTTCCAAGTCAACGGTCAGCAGTCACAGTTAGCCTCTGAGCTCAGCCTGTGCCCTTCACCTCCTCCGCATCCCCGCGGGCACCTCAGCCTTCATGGGCCTTTACCTGAGCAGGAACCTGAGGGGGAACCTGGGCGAACCCAAGGCCCAGCAGGGCGGGCATCAGAGGCCCACGCCCGAGCTTCCTGATCTACACCCAGTGCAGGCAGGCTGGGATGACGCCGGGGCCCAGAGGGCCTTGGCTGCCCTGGCCAGGAGCCCCGCTCCCGGCAGGCTGCCCTCCGGGCTGCTCCTCAGACCCGAGCTTTCCTATGCTGGCCTCAATGACAAGAAGCGCAGGCTGTGGGCAGCCAGGGACCCAGGGCTGCAGAACCTCGTGCGAGTGCAGGTGAAGGCCCCTGTGGGCCCAGGGACCTTGTACCAGTGCCCTCCCTCTGAGGAGCGCCCAGACCCCTGCTCCAAGGAGACGGTCCTGCAAGCCCTCGCCCAGTGCACGAAAGGAAAGAGGAAGTTCGACGGGCCGCTCTGGTTCGAGGTTCCCGAGCCCAAGACAAGGAGGCCGGACCCAGAGTCCAGGCCATCTGCCTTCTGGCCGATGACCACAAATGAAGTGACCCGGTCCTTCGTGCCCAGGCCCGGGCCCTTGAGCAGAACCTGTGCTGAGGGGAATCCTGCTCTAGGAGGAGGAATATGAACATGGACCAGCCCGACAGTCTTTCCTAGCTGTCCATGAGCCTGTCCGACCTGCGCAGGAGCCATGACAGCCCAGGTACCATGCCACAGCCTACTCTGGAGACTCAGGCCTTCCCCTCTGGGGGACCCTGCAGTCCATGAGCACAGAGCCAGCTGTCTGCAGCCTTGGCGTCTGAGGTCATCAACCCTCCCAGCCCCAGACTCCCAGCCTATGAATACCCTTTGATCTTCTTGACCCCTTCCCCACAGGAGACAGGGCATCACCAGGTCCCTTCCCTCCATTTCCTGTGACAGGTCTGCCCCTCCAGAACACTTGATTATCCTGTGGCGTCCACAAGGAGGAGACTGCTGATTTCAAGACATGTTACTTTATTACTTTCTTATGTGCTTTTACACATAAATGTTTTAAAAACTATTTCTGTACTAATGATAACATCTTTCTAGTCCTCGTTTTGGCTGTTATCCACAGGTTGTGTCTTTTTTTACATTTTGATAGTGTAATTATATTTGAAATCACATACAACACACAACAAAAATAACAATAGTATGACCACTATGAGAACTGAAAACAATTCGTAGGACCAATCAGTTCAGTTGCCAAAACCAAGTAAGTTTGGGCCTACATTTATGAAAAAAGAAAACTTTGTTTATAGCCTTTTTGTTTTTTGTTTTATTTTAGAATTGCAGACAGATTCTCAGCTTTTGCCCCTTATGTGGCTTCTTCCCTCAGCTTTTCTACCCTCATTTCCATCTCACACTGGGCAACCAGGAGGCTCTTCCAAAACATACATGTGAACATTTCACTACCTTGCTGGAAAATACTTCACAACTCCCAATGTTAAATACAGAGTCCTCAGGAGCCCAACCCAAATGACCTGTCCTGCTTCCTCTAGAACTCTTCTTGCAACATGTCACATTTCACACTTATCACCTGTGTTGAGGCACTTTTTCTTTAATTCTGATGTATCAACAAAGATGTAAACTGGTCTATTTGAATTTTAATTATGAGGCAAAATAGTATCGAAGTGATAGGCAACATTAATCAAAAGAATATAAGAGAAAAATGTAGAAGGAGCATGTGCTCAATTCAGGAGAAACAATACTATTTTTTATTTTTAGAGGAACTGACAAGAACAGGCTACAGAATGCTTTCATTACTGGAAGCAAAGGAGTAAGAGAAGCCAACAGCAGAGTTGAAACTTGGTCAAATAGGATAAAGATTAAACTGCACATGCCCAGCTCCTATTCCTGGTTACCCTGATCAGAGCTTCTTTCTGAGAGGGAGCCTGTAAAAGATAAAAAGGTCATGTGTGATGAGACCACACACTGATTTCTCGACATCTATCTTGGAGAATCTTCAAGTAGGGCTACTGGGAGTAGCCCTGTGCACTGTACACAGAATAAGATCACCAAGAGGCCAACTTGGACATGCAGAAGTCAGAATATGTGGGGTCTACAAAATCTCGAACTGACTAAGCAACAGGTAAACTTACTTTCTGCTGGCTTGACTGAAAACAATAAAATTAGTTGCATATTTAAGATATTCATACTTCTCATGTCAGCTGACCCAGGAAGGAATTACCTATGAATGTGAACATATCTCCACTAGAAAAAGACTATCTGAGGGCAAGAGTCATTTTATTGTCTCTGTACATGATCAGGCATACAGAATTGCTTGTTCTATGAACACACTAATGAACGAATGAATGCCTCTCATACCATTCATACCATGGGGTTCATCCAATTGTTCCCAGTGATTTCAAGAAATAACAGTTTGCAAAGTGGGACCACTTAAACAATATCAGACCAGAAAGACAATGTGTTTGGAAGGCGTTAACATGTATCTGCGTGTAATCTCTGGAAGAACTTCTGGATACCAACTGTACTGACAGCAATCCATACCCTTTCCTTGAGTTCTGCCCATGTAGACTCAGTTATTATTTTCCACAGAATTCATTGTACCCAATTCCTAGGAATAACTGCAAGTTCTGAATAGCAATGATCTTCCTTCCACTCTGGGAATTTCAACAGCCTTGAAGAATATGAAGTGAAAACTCTTTTATCTAACAATTCGTCACATTGTGTTTTTCTGGTTGATTCCAGGGCATGTAGGTGACCAAAGATGAGTTGCCAGCACGGGAAACTCGTTTCCAGCATATAAGAAGGGCAACAACTCAGAAATACCTGCAGCCCTTTACCATTCTCAAGTGCACTTGGACTGCATACATAAATGCATGTGTAAGTAATCTTTAGCTCAACTGGTAATTTCTTTACCCATCTCTGGTCTCAACAATGTACTTAAGCCATGGTTTACAGGCAACAACAAGAAATTGGCATTGGGTTTGTTGCCTGGGGCACAAGGCTTCTACCAGTTGGCAAAGGCCCATTCCAGTATTAATGAATATGCCATTTGTCAGGATGATTATGCATGAACTTGGCAGCTGCACAGAGCAGGCAAGCCTCATGAAAGGCAGTGCCAGGACATACGGATCAGAGCACTGGGAAAACCCCCTGACGCTGGAATCTTCTAAAATAGCTCCCTTTTGCTCACATAATGTCTTTTTTTAAAAAAATTAAGTCTAAGGGAATAAAACATAGTGGGAGAAACAACTTTTAACACAACTATTAGCTGAATATACCATACCATGTTCCCGTTTAAAAAAGTCTTTTCATCCCTGTAATTCAGTTGAGAAATGAATATCAACATAATTCTTTGCAATTATGTTCTCAATAATTAGAGAACTGAATATACTGTCACACTGAAAACTTATTCAAGAATAGAGGAATGCTTATGAGAAAAGTATCTTGTGATGGATGCAAAAAGAAAAGAAAAAAGATTTTTCAAAAGTTCTTTTGAACACAAACCACAGTACTCAGTTCCAAGAGAAATCAGTTTTGCTACCACTAAGTCAAAAGATTAAAATCTATAATTAAAGAAATACATGAGAGAATGGCTACAGACCAAAGACATAAAATTACAGATTTATTAATAAGTGTCCAAAAACATCACCATATTTGGAACTTAAGTATTCCCAATCACTCTTCCACTACCTTTCATTCTAAAAAGTATCATTACACAAAATTAAATTCATGTTAAACCAGATATGGTGGCACCTGCCCATAATCCCACACTCTGGGAAGCTGTGGAAGGAGGATTTCAAGTTTGAGGGTTCAAGGCCAGCCTGAAACAAGAAAGACCCTACCTCAAAAAATGACAACAACAAAAAAACTAAGTTCATGTTATGAATATCCATTAGTATGACTCTTCTCCTAAATATGCCAGAGGAAAAAAATTCTTCTCAATAGAGAACATGAAAGAAATATAGTATATATGCATACTCTACAAATTAAAAATACTAAAATCACCCCTCAGGTTCTCTAGCATCTCAAGAAAGTTAAGCAAGACATCAAAAGTGCTAATTAAATCAACCTACTACTAGTAATTTTGTTTTTAACAAAAAGTACTAGCTGAACAGTAGCTCTCTATAGTTAAAATTTGGGGAAAGACAATGTAACTATTCATGAAATACAGCATCTAAAATAATTTTAATATGTCACTAATATACATACACATGTTTTAAAATAAAAACATCCCACTAATAAAAAATAATAAGGTTTTTAACCCTGAAATAATTTAGCAAGCACAATGGTAATAGCAAGTAAAATTAAAAATTGTTTTAAATCAACTCACTAGCTGCATATTAAAAACTATTTTAAGCAATTAGAAATATTACTCTTATCCAGAAAAATAGCCTCCAAGTTAAAATTTCTTTTCTTTAAAGTGTTCTATATAAACTGATTTTATCTAAGATTTTCCAAATATACCCATAAAACCCTGGAGTCTTTACTATAATGGAAGAAAGAAATCACAGTATACAAAGGCTTTGCCAGTCCTCAGGCCGGTAATTACTAAATTCTAAAATAGTTCCCACCTACAAATGGGTAATAATGTAACATTATCTTCTCTAGGAGCCTTTTCGTTTTTTTCTTGTTCTTTAACCCTTTCATTTAATCCTTAAAAACAACACAATGAAAGGCACACAATTTATTCGCAGTCTTGTCCATGGCAGAAAGGTCGGACCCGGCTGTGTCAGGTTATGACGCCTCCCTGGCTCCTGTCCACCCAACTATTTCCACTGCCTCACTCCTAACCAATACCACAAAACCCCGCTTTCTACAGTGGACACAATCCCAGCAAGCTCTCTGTGAAATGTCCTTCCAAGCTGAAACACATCTCCCTATGGACATGACTCCCAATTTCAGACAGCTTTATCTCTACAAAACCCATGTTTGTCCCTCATATTCTGCCCAGGAAGAACTCAGCCAGCTCCCCTTCCTCCTAACCTGTTTCTTATTCACACATCATCCAAGATACGTAACACATGCACTGAACTCACCAGTTAATTGTGCTAATTAGTAGCTCTTAAGATACCTGCCAACAACGGCAATGCTTTTGTCCTCAAAAAGGAACGCTTTTCTAAGTCAAAAGGGGTAAAACAGTTATGAACATTTAAGGTTATATATTTGCAAATCACTACTTAGCTGAGCAAAGATACCATCCATTAAACTCACAGGTGAACTTCCAAAGCTCCATTCATTCTCGATAGCAGATCCAATGATAAAGTGGTTGGAAAAGTAAAGCTCAGGTCATTTAGCAAGCCACTGACAAAGCCGAAAATCAAACAACACTCTTTAAATTTGTAACTCTAAGAAGTTTGGTGTATGCAAGGTAAATTATATTCTGAACAGATTAGCAAGATGGGAGAACAGAATTTCAGCCCTCAGGTCAGAACCCCTTCACATCAGTCAACCCCAGTCAGCCCCAGCACACAGTTCTGTGCTCTCTGCCAAACTCTGGCCCTAAGGGGAGGATGGCTACACAGTAAGTCTGCAACTTACAAACTTTCACAGGTGTACTTGAGACTTACTTTATTGGATTGCAAATGAATCCAACTTACAAATCTCCCAGAACATAACCCATTCATAAGTCAGGGACGTACTGTACTTCTTTATAACTTCAGACATCTTTGCTAATACATGAAAGCATGGAACTAAAATTGCAAGGTATAGGGAAATAATACATATACAATACATTCTCATTACTTCTTGAAGTTATGTTCTTCAAAGTAGCTGTAAGTACTGAATTAGCAAATTCTAAAGCAATGCCGATAGAGGAAATACAGGATTAGTTTCGTAGGAAAGAGTGGGCACTTTTGCCAGTTGATCAGTACATAACCTTGTCTTATGTGATTGTGTTTGAATACGTTTTATTTAGCATATACTACTAACGCACTGAGACTGAATCATGACGAACAGCATTATTAGGCCGAATGAACTTCTGACACCTGTGTTTCTGTTGGCACTTCACAGCCTTCCTGTGCTTGGGGACTCCACACCACACTGCAGCCCTACATCTATGGGCCAATTTAAACAGAATATAAACTACAGACACTATGGAAAACAGTACGAAGATTTCTCAAAAGCACTAAAAATAGAAATTCCATTTCACCTAGCTATACTTCTTCTGGGTCTCTCCCCAGAAGAGTCAGTCATGGTATTATCGTGATGCACACATACCCATGCTTACTGCAGCACAATTCATACTAGCTAAACCTTGGAAACAAACCCCATGTTCATCAGTAGATGACTGGATAAAGAAAATGTATTATACACCACGAGGTACTACTCTGCCTCAAATAATAATAAACGAGTCATTTGTAGGAAAGTGGATGCACCCTGACATCATGTTAAGTGAAATAAATCAGACACACAAGCTTAAATATTGCAGTTTCCCTTATATGAGAAAGCCAAAAATATAAATAAAGATATATAATAGGAAATAGGGAGACAGATCTTTTGTAAATGGGAAAGAGACTAAGAGATGAAGGGGACGCCGGGATTTAGCTCAGCAGTTCAGTGGCCTGCCTTGCAAGGGCAAGAACCCGAGTTCAATCCCCAGTACTAAAAAAAATAAAAATAAAAATAAATTTAAAAAAAGAGAGATGAAGGAGATGAAAAAAGACATGTTCGGCCCATGTACCAACTTCCTATGAGGAATGCAATCTTTGTGTGCTGCAAACATGTACTAAAAAAAAATTGGATAAAAGAGCACAAGAATGTATGAAATGTGAGACTAAACACATGTGAAGGCAGAATGCCTTATTCACCCTAAACTGAGAATTCCCCCATCAGGTGACTTGCCAATTAGTCGAGGATTTCTTTGCTCAATTCAGATAGAAATCACAAAATCATGAATCGGAAAAGTGCAGCTCTGCCAGTGGCTCCCAGATGCCATAGGTCACAACTGCCTGTTGCTGGAGTAGATTTACAGGACCTTCCAAGCCCATGATACCCGAGAAATAAATAGGTTTATAGAATCACCAGAAAGAGGCTTTATTTAGACAAAGTGGTGCCGCAGCACAGAGAATACAGAAACCTCTCCTACACCAACTGGGGGGGCGGGCTGCTATTTATGTAGCAGCAGCAGACCCGTGACTGGTCCAAACTCTAGACTACTGATTGGTCTGAATTTGAGCCTACCAACTGGTCCAAACTGATCTAAACCAAGCTTCTGATATGAATCTGCTGATTGGTGAAAATTCAGTTCTGCAGAGTTCAAATTCAAGTCTGCTGTGGTCAGGGCAGAAGAAGGGCCTTCAGGGTAGTTGCAGCCATTGTGGAGGCAATTCTACAGAACACTGGGAGACAGGCCTGCCATCGAGGTAGCTGCCACATCTTGGCAAAAATGGTAGAACTAAAACTGGGGAATCTCTAGGAGGGCTTGATGTGTTGGTCTCAGCTTCTAGGAGTTTGAGGATAATGGGCCCGGACCCCTCCTTGATGTCTTCCACATGAGGTACGGTTTCCAGCTCTTCTTCTGGTAGGCCGCAGCAGCAGGAGTGTGAGGAACAGCAAGACTGGGAGACAGGCACCAACATGATAGCAAAGCAGGCTTGGGAGCTGCCACAGGTGACTGTAGGGTGGTGGAGGACACTGAGGCACACTGTCCCGGTCCATCCTTAGGGGACTCGGCGGCACCAAGGAGAAAGAGGTGGCCACTCTTTGTGAAGCCAGGGGCCCCTGCACATGTGACAATGCGCAAGTGACAATGGAAGAGCCTCATGTATTCATTTTAGGTAAAAACAAAATTTAGTGAGTGGCAAATTCACAGATATAGAAACTGAATAATGCAGACTGAGGATGTATCAAGAGCTGCCAACAGCTCTTGTCTCCAAGGAAGAGAAATAGGTGGCTGGGAGACACGACAGAGAGAAATCTGTTTATTTATATCATCTTTTATCTTTTATTCTCTCATTCTGTGGGTGGGGAGTGTCTGTGTGTATATATTTGTGCATTTGTGCAAGAATTTTGTGATTTATACTGAGGGAAAACAGCACTTAAAAACATTAATAATATCAAAATATTAAACTTTACCTTCAAATTAAAATAATAAAAGGCACAACATAAAACTAGGAAAAATAAAAGTAGAAACGAATAACTCAAAAATGGAAAATTCAAAAATAGTTGAGCCCTCTATGTTAGGAAACTGTGAGCCAATTCTCATGGGCTGGCAGGAATGGAACAGAAAATAAATCAAAAGCAAAGAACCCCATGACCATGAGTGAGCTCTCAATTCCCACCATAGGAGGGAGTCGAGGAAGTCTGACACAAAATAAAATAGGAAGACTTTAAAAAATAACTATATACTAAAAACAGCTTCACACAGCCATTTTTCCCAGGAAATTTAAACTTCATTTATAAAACACTTAAAATGATTCTATGGAAGGCCAGACACAGTGGTGCACATCTTTAATACTAGCACTTGGGAGGCTGGGCCAAAAGGACTGTCACAAGTCTGAGGCCAGCCTGGGCTACACAGTGAGTTCAAGGCCAGCCTGGACAACTGTATATAGTAAGGCGAAGTCTCAAAAAACAAATAAATAAAAAACAAGAAATCCTATATAAAATGCTGGTTCTTTAAGTATGGTTCCAAAGCCAGCAATATTGACATCACCAGCAGCTGTTGGGTGGGCTCCACTCCAGACCCAAGAAACAGGAACTCTGGGGAGGCCAGTCTGTACCCTTGGAAACCATGATTTAGTAATACACTGAAATGATGCTCTTCCCATGAATCAGAAACTATAAACATAATGTAAAATTTTCTCACAAACGCTGGTCATCCATTAGGGAAATCTGCTATACTGTGTAAGCATGCAATCACACAGAATATATACTGCATAATTCTCTCTACATAAAGTAATAGCAGAGCTAAAACTAATCCTCACTGGAAAACCAATCACAATACATTCCTCAGGCAGGTATTGAAGACTGTATACAACTATTTTGAAGGTGAATATTCCATCCAATGAAATGCACTGATATTAAATACATCATTGAGTTCTGACAAATGTGTGTATCTGTGTAATTCAGACTATGTCCCTTTGATTTTTTTCCAGTCTAATAATGAGCACTAGATGCTTCCCCATATTTAGGAGGAAGTCTGACTTTGAAATGTCTGTCCCCTCCCACAAAACACAGATGGATTTGTAGGGGCATAAAAGGGCACACAATGTGATTAAATGGCAAAGCAAGAATAGCACTATGTTAACTGTAGAACCCAGGTGATACTTATAAGGAGGCTCACCATACAATTGTTTCAGCTTGTTCTGTATGCTGGAGTATTTTCATAATAAGATATTGGTGGAAAAAGCAGGCGCAGTATAGGATCAAGAGTACAACAGTACACTTAACCACATGTATCCTACCCCGTATGTGTAGTTTCAAATGCTAGGGTTCTATAAAAGTGGTTATGGGGGCAAAAATCACAGGAAAATGGGGCTTACACCCTGATGAAAACACAGCGGCTCTACTTCCTGCATTTTATAAACTGGCATTTCATGAAAAAGTTACAGGATCCAATGATGCAGAGAAAGAAATAAAGACAGAGAAGGAGGCGGAGGCCAAGGCGGAGGCCAAGACAGGACAGAGAGCCATCAAAGATGGAAGTAACAGTGGATTTTATACACATGAATACCATGGGCCTCAGTGAGTAACAAAATAGTGTCTTTTTCAAGAATGGTGCCTCATACATGTATCACAGAGCTGGAAGGGACGTCATCTGCTCTAGTATCTTGGCCTTCCAGATGGGCACGTTGGGTCTGGCAAGGGAAGAGACCTCTAGGCAACTGCTCGTCCTACATATCAAAACAACAAAGACAGAGCACCTGGGCTCAGGAATCACTGCTGGTCTGAGGCCTGCAGCCCCATCACACTCCGACCTGCTGCTAGCTCCAGAGTCCCCGAGGAGTCTTTTAATGAGATTTTTCCAGTTATTTTGGTGAGGAGGCATTTGAAAAATAAGGTCTACTCTTCACAGAACAAAATGATTCAAAAACAGAAAGTACATTTTTTTTCTAACTGCTAGGAAAGATTATAAGCCTATTTTCTGATTTTGACATTTATCTTAAATTCAGATTCTATGGCATAACCTAATATGAGCTGTGGAGATAATTAATATAAATGTGAAAATCTCAGGGTAAAGTGAGAGAACAAAGGAAAGGGAACATTCTTAAAGTTCAAGCCACTTTCCTGTGCCACTTTATGGAATTTAATTGTCTCTCATTCTCAAACACAAAATTCCAACAATAAGCTGAAATTACTCTCCCCACTAAATCTCCTACCTACAAAAAGCACAGGGACCTACCTGGTTGTACACGTGTGCGAGAAGCTGTGGGTAAACTGCTACCTGAAGGTGCCCTAGAGTTGATCTATCCTTGTAATCAAGATGCCTCTCTTACTTCAATTTACCTGGGAATAAGGTGACACCCCATCAAACAACTCCAGCAAGCTATGCATTAGCAATTCATTTTGTGTTACTAAAACAAAATATCTGAGATACAGTAACTTTATAAAGAAGAAAATTTTATTTGGCTCATAGTTCGAGAAGCTGAGGAAGTGTATCTTGTCAGCAGTGTTCCAGGATAGCATGGCATCACATGGCAAGAGACAGGAAGTGTGTGTGTGTGGCTGTCTTCTGGACTTTCTCTTCTTAAAAAGTCACAGTCTTCAATCACCAAGACTCCACTCTGATGCCATTATCTAATCACCCACAACAGTGGCCAGCCTTTCTACAGGACACGCTGCAAGTGGCCTTTCTGAATCATGACTTGGGTCTTAGATAAACTGGATCCACAAGCTACCTGCTCTGAAGCCACCACATCAAATGCAGTGATGAGCTGAAGCAGATGCACTCGTTTGGGTGAACGTGTACCCGGAATTCACAGTGTGGTCTCAAAAGAGGGCAGGGAGGCACAGCTGGAACTGTGCGCATGGTGAAGAAACAAAGGGCGCTTCCAAACAGCATGGTGTGCAGCTGGTTGGCCCACATTGGAGGACCACTGTGCATGCACCTTGTATCTGAGTTACTTTTTATTCTTTTAAAGGAACTCGAGAGGCAAGTTTCATTTTTTTTTTTAATTTTAAGGGGTGAAACCGATGCCACCAACTTAAGCAGAGGGGCATAAGGACCTGCAGGGCAGAACGCATGTACCCATTCAGGTCCTCGAAACACTAGCTCCTCACAGAGATGGTGTCCTTCTTCCTTCCTCTCCACCACCCGCTACCTGCCCACACTGCAGCAGCTGCAGGCCACCAATGCTTCACTTGTCTGAGTCATTTCTGATGGTTCTTATTTTTCTTTTCTCTTCCATTTCCTTACTTAGGATTATATATTTAAATTACATCATAATGTTATATCCTGGTACACACTGAAACAAAAATTCTACCTTCTGATCTAAACTGGGTTGGAAAATTTTAGATAAATTTAAAAACCTTCAAACAATACTCAGTTTCAGTGATGAGATCTGAACAGCCCAGGAGAAATCACAGTACACTGGAAAGCACCTTAGAGACCAACTTGGTCACCTTGTAAGAGGGAAGTGAAGCCAGAGAAGACTTACTTAACTTTCAGTTTCTAATGGGACCACAGGAACTATGACACTCCACAACTCTACAGCATGCCTAACATTAAAAGGGGATGTCCTCACAGTGAGCTTCCTAAGCCTAGCTGGGACTGCCACACACCGACTGATGAATAAACATATCCCACTGCCCACCACAGTGGCACGCAGCAATCAGCAGTTCTACTTCGCCAGGCAGGGTTTATCTGCACACTGATTTGAATCATGGGGCACATTTATACACATTTGTTACTTAAAAATGAGTGGAAATGAAAAAAAATATAAGTGCTGATGCTAACAATGCAACCAGAAACAAATGGACACAACTAAGGGCAAAAACTTGGTGATTCAGTCAACCAACAGTAACAGGACATAAGCAAATCAGAGGGCAAAGGAGAGAAGAAAGAGTAAACATTTCTCAAATACCAAGATTACAATGTCTAGAGATTATCTAGACAATGAAAAGAAATGAAGGGGTAGGGAAAAAATTACTAAAATATAAAATGAAAACCAGCATTGGAACATTCCATCAACTCAAATACAGAGGCGTTTGTGAGACTGCCCACAAGGTACATGGCTTGCTGCAGACTCATTATCAAGAGATAAATGTAGCTAATGCCTTACAAGTAAAACAGAAAAAGCCAAACGGTATCAAAATGTACTGTATGTATTTCTGTTCTACCTCAAAAAAATCACCACCAATAACTCCGTCCTAATGACAATACTGACAATTTATTTTACTGATTAGACTGTACTACTGCTGACAGAAGCAAAATTCGAGCTATGAAATGACTGGTTTGTAAAATGCTCTACTTTTCAGTTACACATATTTTTAATGTTTTTAAAAACATACATACAATGCATAACAGTCTGACATAAAATTGCACATTTGTAATTAGAAATGTTACACCTTTGTAGTTCTCCAGGAAAAACTATAACTTCTATACATTAAATTTTTATCTCCTTTTCAGGAATGTGTAGTGAATAAAAGTGGAGGACCGTGTCTGGTGCAGAGCAAGGTCTAGAAACACGTACTCGGGGACAGGCATGGCTCACATTTCTTCTGCAAGGCTGGCTCTTCCAAGTGGACTTTATGGGTTTTGTGACTCTCACTCTGTCTACTTGCAAGCTACTTTTAATTGCTGGATCCCTAAGGATGGATGAGATATTCTTCCATTCCATCTCCATGAGAAAACGTGGCTGAAGGCCATTCACATTCCACTTTTGATTACTTTTTTAACTTCTGTAAATCCAAGGAAATTAATTTTGAATCATGAACAAAAACTCAAGGGGTGGATAAGGAAACAAATCAGGCCATAAGCAGTAAATGCCAACACCAGCCTCACTTGCCAACTCCTAACTATAAGACAGAAGGCAAATCAGAAGGAGGAAGATGGAATTTTCCTGCAGGAAAAGACAAACAGAATTACCAAGATCTGCATAAAAGCCAGAGAATGACTGAAATTTATATTCATATGGAAAGATTTAGTTAAATAAGTACAGCCAGTAATGTCATAAACTCACAATAAGGATTACAAATAAAAGGTAAAAACAAACTTTTATCACCTTCTTCTTTCTCTTAGTCTGGAGAAGTAGACTTTTCTACTCTATTTTTCTAAGAGCTATTTAACCCTTATTGCTGACCACTGACACAGTTACACAAATTTCCATAATATTTTCTATCTTAGAAACTCCTCTCTTGATTCACCTTATCTTCAGCAACTGCCCTAATGCTGTGTTCTCCACCCTTTTGGCACAGATTGCCCTAAGCGGCGGGCACTGAAGTCTCCTTTCTGTTCTCACTCATGCTTATTCCAGTGGGATGTCTTCCCCATCACAACAAGAGAATAGCTCCTGTCTAGAGCCTCAGTGGCCTCCACGTGTATAACCCCAGTGGTAGCTTGTGCTCCTCTTCCTTGAACTAGCAGCCATATCTCTAGTGGGGATCTAGAAAGCACCCCAACCTCTCAAAGCCAACTTGAAGCTCCTGGTTCTGTTCTGCACTAGTTCCCCGCCTTAGTCTTCCTTTGCTAAACCCAGAAACCCTAGAAACACTGCTGGTTCCTCTTCTGCTCAAACTCTACTGAATCCATAAGCAAACTTTTTCCAAAGCATATCTTGATCCCTACCTCTTTATCTCTACAACCACCCTCATCTGAAACACCCCATCTCTCACCCCAGTTATCACAATGCCTTCTGAGGGGTCTCTGTTTCCATTCTTATACTTCCACATTCTACTTATTCTGTGTAGTTTCAAGCATGACTCTTTAAAAACCTACTAAATATCTTCAGCTCACAATTATTTCCCCAACACACTGCAGGGGCAGAATTGTACATGGATGCTCAGGGAACCACGTCCTTATATAAGCCCCACCCCTTGAGTATGAATATCACTCCTGCAACTATGTCACGCTGCATGTCAGAGGTGAAAGGATTTTGCAGGTGCAACTGAGGTCTCTAATCATTTGACTATGAATAGAGCAAAAGGAAGTGGGTCTGAACTGATCACGTTTCTCTAGGCCCAGAAACTGAAGGCAACAGTGATTCTCATGCTGGCCTTGAAAAAGCAAAAAGCTATGATGAGGAGAGCCCTATGGCAAGGGGCCATAGCAATCCTCTAGGAGCTGAAGGTCACCAGCCTGTAATTCAAAAGAATTAAGTTCACCAACTCTCCTGTGAGCCTGAATAAGGATTCTGAGTTCTACATACAATGCAGCCCATTTCACACCCTGATGTCCACCTTGTAAGACCCTGAAGAGAAACCCTTTCAAAGCTGTAGCTAGGCACCTACACCAACTATAGACAATCAATGGATGTTGTGTTAAGCTGCTAAGTTTGTGTTAATTACTGCATGGCAGCAGGGTATATAGTCACTACGACTGAGCAAATGGTTTCCCATTCATTTTAGATGCTTTAGAAAATAAAAACTACAAGTATGAAGGTTCCCAAACACAACCGATATTTCTGATTCCACCTACAAGGTTACTCTATCTCCAATTCATAAGACAGGGTGTGCCAAAAAGTAAAGCATAGAAAAAAGAGCATAATAATTCAATAAAATAGCACATGATAGTGAAAAATCAAACTTCCAAAGAAAATAAAAGGACAATTAGGGGCTCTTTTTCTCTTCTGTCATCTCAGAGTGTTCTAAAGAGTTATACTCTAAATAAACAACTATATTATGTATGCCACGACATCACATATTTTTAAAAGGGGAAATAATCACTACTGAAAATTTTGTCAGTCTAAAGATGTGATGTGATAAGGGAAGAAAGCTTCCTTGAAGCATTTTTAGTTTTTAAAGGTAGTGTGTCTCTGTTCAAATAACTCTTTACCTGGAGTACTTTAAATGTAATGCTAGATAAAGGTTACATGCAAGAAAATAGTAAGAAAGTCCACAAGAAAAAGGCAAATGAATTGTGAAGTCACTGTGGAAGATGCCAAGATAGGAACATGAAAAGAAAAAGGGACACCATACAGGCCCTTTCAGCTGTGGAAACACCACTCCAACAGATAGCCAAACTCTGCCCACTCCCTCCCAGGAAAAGCTTCTCTCGGCTCCCCTCAGAACAGCTTCTTTCACAGGACAAAAATCTCTCCCCCTGGCAACACAGCAAGCAAATGAAAGGGAAGCAATGTGCACGTATGAAAGTGAGATGACAAAAATATTTCTTCCTCCTTTTTGTGTCCTCTTTTTCCTTCCACCCCCCACGCAGGCAGCTCCTCTTCACTAAATGTTCACTGAATGTCCAGTCACAGCATGGCCCAGACAGGGAGGGTGGACAGGGGCTGAGCCTTGACTTTACACACAGGGCACATTCGGCCAGTGACCTCATGAGTCTCTACTGAATGAATCGCAGAGCTCTGATGCCGCCGTCTCCTGTCCACTTCCATCTTTCTTATAAGGATAAGACAAGGTCAGTTCTGTAAAGTCCCTAACACTGGAAAAACCTAGGCTAAAAATGGTCAAGGCAGAACATTTTGACTTTGCATTTTAAGAAAATTTGTTTAAAACCAAATAGGTTATTTTCATGAAAAGCACAGGAATGAAAGGGAAAGGAGGAAAACACAGGAAAGGATTCTAAGGTCTTAGGAATAAAAACATAGTAGGATTAATCTTTCCCCAGGAAAAGACCTTAGCAGAACTAATGAAAAATGCTCCATTTTACTCATCACCTGAAACACATGCTCATACCCAAAGACACTTCCTGGACATTTGGGCTATTTTATAGAGGCCATCAGAAAAAACATTCAGGGGACTACTTGTTACCAGGGTGAAAAGATCTTGTCACAAAATGTGGCCTCAACATTAAAGAGCAAAGCAGATTCAGCAAAAATCCCAAGTTACTGAAATAAATAGATGTGAAAGGCAAGCATTGTTATTATTGGTTATTACTCTTAAAGAAAAATAAAATGGAGGCCACAGCAGGAGTAAATCCTTAGACCAAGCATCTATAGTTGCATAACCCAAACTTAAGCTATTCTGGTTTCCCTGAAATACTGCCCCTAGTTATCCATAAAACCTAAGCTGTCCTCTTTTGCAGTGTTTTAGAATTGAACCAAGCTGTTACAGACAAATAAGGTTAAACAGCTCTATTTGCCCTAAATGTGTGTGTGTGTGTTTACAGCAATCACAGCAGAGAACTTCCTCCTTATGCTCTATCACAATAGGACTATTAAACCAATCTTCTATAAAAGTTGAATTTCACTTTGCAAATACTATAATGTTTGTTTGTTTTTGAGACAGGGTCATGTTTTTGAGACAGGGTCATACCATGTAGTTCAGGTTCACCTTGAACTCAATGTGTAACCGAGGCTGGCCTCAAACTCATGGCAAATTTCCTGCTTCACCCTCCCCAGTGCTGAGATTATAGGCGTGCAGCACCATGCCTGGCTGAATGCATTACTTTAAAACTTTGTCAGTAACACAAAGTTTTCATACAGAAATATAAAGAGGTAAAATTATAATAATTTTAAGATCTGCTTTAAATTTTCAATGTTACTATCATAACAATTTTCCCTAAAATTCTAATTGCTTGACCAAAAATACTGAAAAGATACCATTGACCATTTACCAAAAAAAAATGATCATTTCCCATAAATTTTTCTTCATAGTAACCAGTGATCTCTAGGCAAGTTACAAAACCATTCCTAGAAAAGCCGACATTGTAATTAACCATTTCTTAAGACTTTAGCCAAGTGATGAAATATATCTACTAGAAGGAAAAAACCAAAGTATTGTTATTGGCCATGACACAATTTGCACAAAGAAAGTTCAAGGGAGTGGACTGACAAACTGTTAGAATATAGAATTGCTTGGTAACAGGAATGAATTTAAATTTTTGAAAATTCAATAGTAGCCTTAAATCCCAACAATAACTATAAGATATAATTTTGAAACATTCTTTATAATAACAGATATATAAAGGGACCTATGTAAAGCAAATTACAAAACTTTATGAAAAACCTTGAAAGCTGAATAAATACCAAAAGATATCCTTTGAGTGGGAAAACCAAATAGTATAAAATGCTAGCTCTACCTAAATTGGTTTCATGTAATTCCCAGTGGAAATTTCTACAGAGAAAAGAGGTAAGGGGAATAACTCTGTAAAAATGATCGTAAAGTTCATCTGAAAAATCAAACAAGTGACAGGAGCTACAAAATTTTTTAAAGAATATTTTAAAAGCAACAATAATGAAAACTGGCACAGAAACTAACACAGCAAACAGAATTAGACAGTAAATAGAATCAGATAAAATTTTAAATATATATGCACATATATAATCTCATAAACCAATAGACTTGTAGAATAGCTTAGATAAGAAACAACGTTGAGAAATTGTTAATCAATTTCAGTGAAAAATGAAGCAAGCTTTACTTCATGTCATATGTCAAAAAAAAAGACTGCAAAGAATTCTAAATTTAAAAAAAACATGTTGGTAATTTTCAACTGATTTGGGGTTGGGAATGACGACTCCAGAAAAGTAGAAAAAAGTAAATGAAATCAAATGAAAGATCCATAAATTTGACCATATGAAAATGTTAAAACTTTTGCTATTTATAAACATCAAAAAACAGAAAAGGAGTACAAAGGAAATTGAGGGAAATATCTGTTGTGGATGAAGAGGCAGCATGTTTGCTGAGCTCTGAAACAGAACGTAAGTTCTGAAATGCTGATGGCCTCTTCAACCTCTTACACCAAACAAAGTTCTTTGCTTCATTTTCCATATAGATCTGGGAAACATGTACACTTCATTTCAAAAACAAATCCAGGCTTTTGAAAATAGTTTTATTTGCCTGTTGATTCATGAGATCCCACCTATGTGAAGAAATATCTTTGGTTTTAGAAACACTTTGAAAAAAAATCAGTGCTTCCAGTTAGAGGGGCGTGAAAAGGCCCTGAGACTTTCAAAGTGATCAGAACATGCACCTCTTTCTTCTTGCAGAGAAATAGCCCATCTTATTTTACAGCTCTGACTTTATATATTTATAACTAAGA